GAGGGTGCTGAGGTTCTGTTGTGCTTTCTTCGAGATTTTATTTGAAATGGGTATACATGTGAAGAGGATCTTGGAGTTTGGGAAGGTTTTGTTGGCTGTAGCGATTAATTTCTGGGCTTGGTTAAAGGAGGTCTTTGGTAGCTGATCACGGTTGTTGAGGCCGACATGAAGAATAATGGTAGTAGGTTTGGGATCATTGTCGTATAATTCCAGGATTGACAGTATGTGGTGGATTTGGGCACCGGGGTAAGAATGTATTTCAGTGTCTGAACTGGTTTAGGAATGAAAAGGCCATGGAGCATGGAAAAAGCATCTAGACATATTTGGCATAGCCAAATGGCTCACCTCCCTAAATATACCACTGATTTTAAGTATTAACTGTAATAAAACACATTGATTTCGCGTTTATTGTATTGTCGGTGATAAACCTACAACTTGACTAAATTCTTAATAATTTACACCACGAATCGTATGTCCAGCACATATAGTCAACCATGTAAATCCCTTTTAATATGGTGTTATATGTATAAATTATCCGCGATGTTATAATAGTCTAGTGTGTCTATCTGCCCATCATGGACCTCATACTTTTCCCTATTGAATGAATAATCCTTAATACTTTCGTTTTTGTTTTTTTCTCAGTTACTAGTTGAATTGTGTTATTGCCTGAAAATAAATAAAACATGAGATTAAAAGTTTGCTTGACATTGTGAAGATTGGAATTGGTGATAATTAGTATCAATTGATTAAATCAATGCTGGATTAGCAGGTCAGTAAGTTGAGTAACTGTTCGATACTTTATATAACTACAAGCTTTTGTCTGGAATTAGCTGCTATTTGGGCTGCTATATAGTGATAGAATCCAATAAATATAATGCGCTCACTTTGTAGATTTCGTTCTCGAAAATACATTTTGTGGTTTTGTGGTAAGATACTGCCTGCAAATCTCAACAGCGGAAGTTGCTCTTTAAATCTGGTGTTGATCCAATTTCGAGACCGTGATTGAGTAAGTGTGATCTGCTATCATTTAAACAAATGACGACTTTTCCTCCTCGCTTAGATTGAGTTGTTGATTTATACTCTTACTGTTTACAGTCATCTGTTGTGTTGATGTCATCTTGTTTTGTTCTGAAATTCAAGAATAATAATATGGTTCATATTCTACTTTCCTGATATCTGTACGGTCATGTATTTATTATAAAAATATTTGAGGTTTTCACTGCTATACCCTAATAAATCTATATTTCTCATTTCTCTGAACCTTTAGAATAAATAGAACATGATTTGTCTGGTTTTAACCCGTATTCTTCACCATCAAAGATATATTCAGAGGTACCATTACTTACTTGTGTGGTGTTCACAACATCAAGGCCCTTTCTATCACCTGTAACACCATAATTTTCGTTGTTCTGGGAACCTTTTCTTTGTCGTCTTTGTCTCAGTTGAAGACCTTTATTTGTTCTGTAATTCGATTTAACGCTGGCCTGAATACCCTCCATTCCTTAAAGCAAGCATCAAAAACTAGTAGGCCATGTTACAACTTTTTACAATTGTCATCCTTAGAAAAATAGCCTATATGACGTCATAATCACGACACACGCCTTCTGAGACTGGGGGTACAAATAGGGGCAAGACTGGCATCATGGCGGAACAACTGCTGGGATGGAGATCGCAAATACGACAGCTCCGCAGTAGCGCCCAAGACGCAAACCTTCCATGGAACGTCCACTTTACCCACACTGATGCCGCCACTGCTGTTTTCCTTTGGTATGATGCATTCATAATACATGACATAACTACCGTCCTATCCGTCCAAATATCAGCAAGAATACTTGACTAAATATCTAACGCCTGCAAAACTTTTTAGACTGTTACAAAAAAAGATGTCGAGTTTTGTCTGAAGTAAGCAAATTACTCTTACTCCTACGTGGTCATTTCTTAAAGCGTACCTAGATATTTCAACCATTGATTAATGCTAAATGAAGTGACAAAATCTTGACAAAAAAAATTTAATCAAAAACTTACTGCAATTTTATCAGTATTTTGATGAAATTTACAAATTTTTCAGAGATACTTCTCACGCATGTCTTTTAGACTGAATAAGAAACTTAGCGTGACATCTTTTGAATTGTGACGTCATAATATTCTAACGTACGTTTATATTATTTTTATATTAATTTTATATAATTAAGAGCATCTTAATGAAATTGTTTTTGATGGAGATGGATTTTACAGCCAATTTAAAAACTTCTAGTGACACGTCTGTAAATATCAAATCTTCCAAAATGACATCTTCACGTTGTTTTTGGATAAGTCAAGGTACAATGGTGACCCCATTATGGCATTAAACCGGAATATTTGAAAAATCAACATTTGAATAGAACAAAGAATAAGACAAGGAATTTAAGATTCGGAACAAGAATTTCAAACTGTAGCAATATTGATTGGGACTTTGATTTAAATTTCACAACAGTTGTTTCCAGTCTATGACACTTGCTGGGCTTATGGATGGAACAAGAGGGCAGAAAACTTATAGACTTGAAAGGAATGTTTGCATTAAGCTTGGTTTATTTGATGAAAATTAGACTTTCCTTTTGAAAAGGAAGGAAATTTGATGGAAAATTACACCAAGAGTTCCAAATGTTGTGTGACCTCTTTGGCTCCGCCACTGACCGAGAGGCCTGTCTTCCATTCAGCCCTTCATTGACAACACAAACAAAACACACAGTTAAACAATATACGATTACATGGATGGAAGCAATCAAACGTCATAAGAAAACATAAAAAAAATAGAAAAATGCAAGGTAACATATGCCCACTGGCAGCTATGAGATAACAGTCTTTAAGTGATTAATGTACGAATTTTCTTATATTAAAGAAATTTTATTAATTTAAATTCAATGATATATATATTTACTGACAGTTATTTATCTGAGTAATTGAAATTAAAACTTGACCAAGATCTCATCAATATAAATTAAAAGACACAAAACTACATTCATTTCATTTCATTCATCATAAAAATCACATAAAATCTGTAGTCTCTATTGTGTTTATGAACAAATTTTGACGCATGTTATCTAAGTCAAGGACAATTACTCAAAAACCATTCATCGAAAGTTCATCAAATTCGAACTTGATCAGGATCTCATCAATATAAATGATCAAATTTCATTAAAATCAGGTGAAAACTATAGTCTCTATTGTGTTCACAAACAAATTTTGATGCGTTTTTCCTAAATCAGGGGCAATAACTCAAAAACCGTTCACCGAAAGATCGCCAAATTCAAACTTGACCAAGATCTCATCGTTATACATCGTCACATCAAGTTCCATTAAAATCAGTTCAAAACTGTAGTCTCTATTGTGTTCACAGAAAAAAAAAAATTCTAAGTAAGGCAATACTGTTTCTCCAGACCCGTCAACGGGTCTTTTAGAGCTACCTCAAGTCAAGAGCAAATTTTGACACGTTTTTCCTAAGTCAAAAACCAATCATCGAAAAATCGTCAAATTAGAACTTAACCAAGATCTCCTCAATATACATTATCACATCAAATTTCATTAAAATCAGATAAAAACTGTAGTCTCTATTGTGTTCACAAGAAATGTTGACGAACCGACGGAACAATGGACCGACGGACAGGGGAGACAGCAATATACGTCCACATTTCCATGTGGGCGTATAAAAGTAATAAAAAGACCATTTAAAACCAAAAAATCCAACACCTAGACATTCTTCGAGTCATGACTACCCGTCTGGAGAGATTTGAAATTGTGCATGTAGTTAGATGTTAGACAGTTCATATCCAAGAAACAGATTTGTGGAAAGATTTCAAAGTGCTCTATTCCCTGTCTCCAGATCTAATTCTAAATCTAAAAAATCTAAATTAAAAACGTTTCTCAACATGCGTATCATCACAAATGTTTTGTGACCTTTTTGGTGTAACGTTATGATAATCGAACGCTGTTACTATGTTAGAGCAATTACACTTCACAACTTCAGTGTTGGCGCGGATTATCAGCTGTTATAAATATACAGAATTCAAGCTGTGTTGTTAGTTTACTAGTCCATCTTAAAGACAAATGGCTAGCGATGGCCATGTTCACTTGGTATGCTATGCATATTTCTTTTTACTTGACTTTGTAGCCATTATAACACAGCATGTATCTATATAGTACGATTATTATAGGGTAGTAATGTCAATTTTAGCTACAGGCCTAGTCAACAAGTACAAAAGAAACATAACTGTACAAAAACTGCGATCATTAAAGTTAAATATCTGGACATATCACATGTGTGCTCCAAAATATTCAGCACAGTTGGAGCGTAAATGTTACATGTCCGGACATATCACTTTTGAGCACCAAGTGTTCCTGTGTTGGAGCACATAGCACATTATTTTGGTTAATGTATACTATTCCACTGAAACAAAGCTAGCTAGAGATGTAAGAGTTGTGCTCCAAGATAGAGCGTTTGAAATAGCAATGACAATACATATTGTTTTAAAAACCTCAAATTTGGATTTTTGGACATATAACATTTGTGTTTTAAACCCTCGATATGGCAGTGAGTCGCCTAGATTTCTGATAAAGTTGAATCTTCAGATTTATTAGTGTAATTCCATAACGATTTCCAACTGTTTGTAGGTAGCCTGTAGTACACGGGCCTCGTTTTTTGTCTCTTCCAAACGTCTATATGCTTTTCCATGTCGTCCAATTCCCTGACTAATAATAACATTAATCCAGATAGTGGTAGCAGTAGCTTTAGATCAGGGAAAATTTATCTCGGAACTATGGTGACTTATGAAAGGGGACAGTACAAAATATCTTTAACCTCTTATTACATTTGAAATAAAGCGGCTAAGGACTCAAGAACACGAGTGACCTACATGATATGATTATATTATGTTATAATTTAACATCATAGCCAACTCTGATTGTGTCCTTCGCCTACATTAGGCTTATCTTTATCTTATCTCTTTTGAAATTTCTTTATATAAGATACCATAATGGTTTTCTGGTATTGTCTGGTATTATAATATATAAAAAGTTGTTCCCTGTGATTAAAAGTATCAAAATGAGGTGGTGTACCATTGGCCTGGTGGTATCAATCATTGTTAGTCATGTAACATGTGTTCGTTACGAGCCCAATTGGGCTTCCATTGACTCGAGACCTCTACCAGGATGGTATGATGATGTTAAATTAGGTATATTTATCCATTGGGGAGTGTTTTCTGTTCCAAGTTATTCACCTAAATTAATAGAAGAATGGTTTTGGTGGTGGTGGAAAGGAAAAAAGTTACAACCCTATATAGACTATATGAATCAGAACTACAAGCCTGGATTTACATACGCTGATTTCGGACCTCAACTAACGGCAGAATTCTTTGACGCCAATCATTGGGCCGAGGTCTTCAAATCATCCGGTGCAGAGTAAGTATCAACATCTTTCACCGAATCAGATTTCAACTTGGACAACTGTTCTGCAGACTAGTCGCGTGTCTTGGTGAACTCTGGTTGAACTTTCGGTCGTAATCGTACCAAACATGAGCTTCATTCGTTTTGACACGTTTTAGCTTTGCCATGGGCAGCGACTTTAAAAACAATTATGATACATCAATATACATAATACACATCTATAATATACGTTTACATTTCTACGTCTATACAATCTACGTCTACATACGTGTCCTTTTACCCAAGAATGTGTCTATGACATATGGCAATTTCCCTGTGATTTTTTTTTAAATAAATGTAATTTATATTTAAAGGTATGTTGTATTTACTGCCAAACATCATGAAGGATACACCAACTGGCCTTCAAAATATTCTTTCAATTGGAATTCTATGGCAGTTGGTCCTCATAAAGATATAGTTGGTAAGTAATTAAAAATATTGTTGTCGACAATGTTACTTTAATTTGAATGTTGAATATTAAATTTTTGTTCTATCCTCCACAAAGTAGCCTAGGTCTCATTTAGCTTCATGGATTTGTTTTTGTGTTTATTTGTTATTAAGTAAAGGCTGTTATTATGATTTGTTTGATTATTAAATGACTGATAAACCACCCCACATATCTCTTTTCAGGTGAATTAGCTGCGGCCATCAAGATGAACACATCATTACATTTTGGACTGTATCACTCTTTATTTGAATGGTTCAACCCACTTTACTTACAAGATAAGGCGAACAACTTTACAACTTCTGACTTCGTTGATGTAAGTCAATTTTAATAACCGACACCTTCATATGATAATATATTAAAGAACTCGTCATGAAATGCTATCTAAGTTTTTATTGATGACTTAAGCTAAAAGTAATTGTTTCTGTTTCAACAATTTATTTCTTCTAGCGAAAAACTTTACCAGAATTATACGAATTAATAAACACCTACCAACCTGAAGTTATATGGTCTGATGGCGATTGGGAGGCAAATAGTTCTTACTGGAAATCTACAGAATTCTTAGCCTGGCTTTATAATGATAGGTAGGTTTGATATATTTTTATACGCCCACAAGGAAATGTGGACGTATATTGCCGTCGCCAGTGTCCGTTGGTCCGTCCACATTTCTTGTGAGCACTGTGAGACTACAGTTTTTATCTGATTTTAATGAAACTTGGTGTGATGATTTATATTGATGAAATCTTGGTCCAGTTCGAATTTGACGATTTTTTTTGATGAACGGTGTTGAGTTATTGCCCTTAATTTAGAAAAAAAATGAAAATGCGACAAAATTTGTTAGTGAGCGCAATAGAAACTGCAGTTTTCAACTGATTTTAATGAAGTTTGGTGTGATCATTTATATTGATGAGATCTTGGATATGTTCGAATTTGATGGTTTTTTTAGTTATTGCCCTTGACTTAAGAAAAAAGCGTCAAAATTTGTTAGTGAACACAATAGAGACTACAGTTTACCACTCATTTTATCGAAATTTGTGTGTTCATGTATATTGATATTGATGCTCAAGATCGAATTTGAAGTTTTTTCGATGAATGGTTTTTGAGTTATTGCCCTTGACTTAGTCAAAAAGCGTCAAAATTTGTTAATGATCAAGATAGAGTCTAAAATTTTCAATCTATTTAAATCAATTTTAGTGTGATCAAATATATCGATGAGATCTTGGACAAGTTCGGATTTGAAGATTTTTCATTGGTTTTTGAGTTATTGCCCTTGACTTAAACAAAACGCTTCAAAATGGGTTAGTTGGCATAATAGAGACTACAGTTTTCATTCGATTTTAATGAAATTTGGTGTAACCATATACATTGATAAGATTTTGGACAAGTTCGAATTTGAAGATTTTTCTAAAAATGTTTTTATTTGTAGTTATTGCCCTTGACTTAGTCAAAATGAGACAAAATAAAAATTGTGTGATTTTATATATACTGATGAAATCTTGGACAAGTTTGAATTTGAATATTTTTTGATGAACAGTTTTTGATTTCGGGGAAGGGAGGGTTTGATTCTCCCAAATGTACAGGCCTAGGGTGGAGCAGACACTTTATTTAGAAATTAGGATTAAGGGTCTTGATATTGGGTTTTCTTCTGTTCTTATTCTGATCTGAAATTAGAAAAAATAACTCGCCCGATGGGCGAGAAGTATAGTATCTGTTATGTACTGATTGTTTTTAGTTTACTACGAACAATATTATCATTTAAGTTCTTATTTTTTGAATATGCAACTATCATTTTCTGCTTATAGACATGGGGGAATTTCTCTTGAAGGCTCTTATAGTGGGCATGAACTATCTTGCTTGCTCGATTGCTGGTTGTATTAAACGGGACAACAAAGGGTGCTATGCCTACATTATGATGAATATTTAGTCCTATAGGTCTTGCTGTATTCAATGTCTCAATCCAATGGGCCTCCCTAGATTGACGGAATTTGGTAGTTTCATCTTCGGGCAAGTCAATTTCTATACGCTCAATTGGGATTAGGGTGAGATCGTCTATTGAATGGTCGTCGAGGTTGAAATGATTAGAAACAGGCTTGTCTTTCTTTAATTTGATGTCTGACCTATGAGCATTAAAGCGAGTTCGTAAAATTATCTTAGT